ATTGCCACTATCGTCAGCAGCATAAACAGCAGCACCCGCATCAGCACCCGCATCATCGTCATCATCATCGTCGTCATCATCATCAGCATCATCATCGTCATCGTAATCACAACCACCATTATCATTATCATCAGCATCATTATCAGCAGCAGCGTCGCCGTCGTCATCGTCAGCGTCATCGTCATCGTCACAAGCAGCATCATCAACATCATCAACATCAGCATCGTCATCATCATCATCGTCATCGTCAACAGCATCACCATCAGCATAAACGTCGCCATCATCATTATCGTCAGCAGAGGCACCATCATAACCATCATCAGCAGCAACACCATCAGCACCAACATCATCAACAGCAGCATCGTCATCGTCTCCTTTGTCGTCAGCAGATCATCATCATCAGCAGCATCATCATCGTCGTCATCATCACCACCAACAACAACACCATCATATTCATAAGCAACACCACCACCATCTACACACCACCACCATCTACACAATCATCAGCATCATCAGCAGAAGCAGCATCAACAACACCAACATCATGATCAGCATCATCTGCAGCAACAACATCATCATCAGTATCAGCGCCAGGCAAGCCGGATGCAATCCACAAGCCGACCTGCAATAGGCAAACTCATGGGGTGAACCGCGGCTTCGGAAAAAGCGAGCGTGTGAACGAAAACGAATTCGCCCAAGCACCGGCCGCAGGCTAGAGGAAACGTGGGAAGATGCACCCAGGGTAAAGCTGCTACATCGCGAATCGAAAGCTCACCGGGCAGACGGGGGCGCCGCCCAAACCGACCTGCAATTGGCAAACTCACGCAATGAACCGTGTCCTGGACAACAAATCGACAATGCAGTTGCGTCAAGATGGAGGAGGGGGGAGGAAGAAGGGAAGAGACAAGGTCGGGGAAAAGATTCGAGCGCGTTGCGCGCGAGCATCCCACATGGCCCAGCCAGCCAACATATATATATATATGTATATATATATATATATATTAAAGAAAGACTCGCAAAACAATAAGTAAGGGGAGTACAATTCACAGCAACTCGAAGGAAATCCAGCTACACTGTTCCGACTCCAGCATTAGCTGGAGGAGGAGGACGACGAAGAGGGGGAGGGGGAGGAAGGACGGAAGGGCGGACGAGGGCATGGGGTGGTCGATCGTCGGGTCGTCGCGCGTCAGGTCCCCGCCGACGGCGCCGCCGCAGCTGCTGCCGCCGGGGAGCACGCACCTGCCACTGCTGCTGCCGCCGGAGCCGCCGCCGCCGGAAGGGCCGCTGGCGCCGCCGAAGCCACGCCCGCACCCGCGCCAGAGGTGGCGCCAGGTCCCCCTGGGACGGCCCCTGGGTGCCCGCGCCGCTCGGCCAGGGCCTGGTGCGAGGGTTCTGGGTCGGCCGCGTCGTCCTCGTCCATGGCCAGCGGCGTGCACGCTCGCACCATGCGGGCGGCGCGACGCCAAACGCTGACGGCGATCCTCGTCTGCACATGGCGCAGCTCTACGTGCGCCTCGGGGCCTCGCCGCCGCGCGTGCGCGCGGGCTATCGACCGCAGCACCAGCAAGCACTCGGAAGCGGCCGAAGGCGCTCACAGCCAGGACCCGGTTTTCTACTCCGACGTCCTCAAGCTCGCTTCGGAAGCCATCGGCTCGGCGCTGCCTCCTGCGAACCATCTTCTCCACGCAGTCGTCGCCTGCCCCCGCCGCCATAGGCGCGATGATTCTCACATCCAATGCCGCCAGGCGCCCAGACGGATCTGGAACGCCAGTCAAAACGTCCGCAGGGCGGAGCATTGGGAAAAATAAAAGAAGCAGAAAAAAGAAAGGTTGATGTAGACCTCCCTCTCCCCGCTGTTCTTGCGCGAAGATTGGGTGTTGTCCGCCACCGTCGCGTCCGCGTGCCGTGCTGGGGACGTACTGTTCACTGAACTTGCTGACTTGGTGCCCGTGCAACAGAGTTGTTCAATGTTTGCTGTCAGAGCCTGCTAGATGCAGCGCCATCGGTTGCAACAGCTTCGCAATCCGAGATCCTCCCTCCTGCTCCCCCTCCTCCTTCCCTGATGCGCGTGGCGCACATCCACGAACCTCCGGGCGAAACCCCCCTCTGCATTCCCCCGCCTGCCTCCCCTTCCCCTCCCTCCTCCTCCCTCCCTCCCTCCTCCTCCTCCTCCTCCTCCCCTTCTGACGACGACGACGACGAGGCCGACCGCGCGGACGAGGACAGGGGCGCGGGCTGCAGGCGGCGGGCGGCGGGCGGCGAGCGGCGGCCGGCGGCTCGCCCGCGCCGCCGTCGATGGCCTCGGCCTCCGACCACTCGGAGTCGGAGGCGCCGGGGGCGCCTGGGCGGCGGGGGGGCGGGCGCCGCGCGCTGGGGCGGGCGTTGGGCGCCCATGCCGCGGAAGGGGCGGCGGCGGCGAGAGGGCGAGGGGGGGGGGGGGGGCGAGCGAGGGAGGGCAGGAGGACGAGAGGAGGGGGGAGGGGGGGGAGGAGGGGGAGAGGGGGAGGGGGGGGGGCGAGAGGGAGAGACGAAGGGGGAGAAGGGGGGGGAGGAGGCGAAGGGGCGGAGGTGGAGGTGGGGGAGCAGGCGGAATGGAGGACGACGACGACGACGACGCCGAGGACGACGAGAGGGTGGACGAGGCGGGAAGAGGAAGGGGGACGGCAACGAAGGCAACGCAATGGAGGAAGGGAAGGAGGACGATACAGATAAAGGCCAGAGGGAAGGGGGAACAAGGAAGGGCAACAGGAGACGGAGGATTGAGAAAGCAGAATCGGGGCGAAGAGGGGCGACGGAGAGAATACTGAAGAAGAAGAAGAAACCAAAAAATATCCCGGTAAAGCATCCTAACAGCGATGTGTAGAAGCATATCGGGAAGCATTGTTTTGAGATTCATGTAGGAGCACTGTTGTATAATTCTGGTGTAATCGCAGTCGCAGTCGCAATCGCAATGGCAGTTGCAGCGGCAACGGCATTCGCAGTCGCAGCCTCAGCCTCAGCCTGCCTCAGCCTCAGCCTGCCTCAGCGTGTGCAGCATTAGTCTGCCTTCAGCCTCGGCCTCAGCCTCAGCCTGCCTCAGCCTCAGCCTGCCCCAGCCCCAGTCTCAGCCTCAGCCTGCCTCAGCCTCAGCCTGCCTCAGCGTCTGCCTCAGCCTGCAGCAGCATCAGCCTCAGCCTCAACCTCAGCCTCAGCCTCAGCCTGCCTCAGCCTCAGCCTGCGTCAGCCTCGGCCTCAGCCTCAGCCTGCATCAGCCTCAGCCTGCATCAGCCTCAGCCTGCCTCAGCCTCAACCTCAGCCTCAGCCTCAGCCTGAGCCTGCCTCAGCCTCAGCTTGAGCCTGCCTCAGCCTCAGCCTCAGCCTGCCTCAGCCTCAGCCTCAGCCTCGGCCTCAGCGGTGCATTTCCCATAGTCACTGGCGGCGCTGGGGGCCGCAGCATCAGCCTCAGTGGTGGATTGATTCCCCATAGTCACTGGCGGCGCTGGGGGCCTCAGCCTCAGCCTCAGGTGGTGCGTTCCCCATAGTCACTGGCGGCGCTGGGGGCCTCAGCCTCAGCCTCATTGGTGCATTCCACATAGTCACTGGCGGCGCTGGGGGCCTCAGCCTCAGCCTCAGCGGCGCGTTCCCCATAGTCACTGGCGGATCCGCGGATTTTTCCCGGATCCTGTCCAGACCCCCCTGGGGAGTCATGATGCTCTCTTTTGAGACCACTAGAAACCTAGCAGTCTTCGCTGTTAGGTAAAAACTGCAGTAAATGTACTGAAACATAGCACGTTCTATTTTTTCTAGATTGGAAAACTACTGTGCCCTACTTTTTCTATCCCATAATGATCAACATGGCTGGTTGCTGTCAATGGATTCGCCGTCGCAACCTTCCACTCCTGGAGCCTCGGGCAGCAGGCGTCGCAGGCCCACTGGCCGGGCGCGGCAGTCGGAGGTCTGCTTGTCGGGTGAACAGCCCTTGCCAAAGCTGCTCGCGAACTTCTTGCCGCAGCTCGAGCTTGCGCCCGCGCCTCGACCGCCGCCTCTGCCGCCGAACGGGCGGTCTTCCGCTGTTCCTCCACTCGTTTCTTACTTTCTCGCACCGTGATGAGCCCCTCTATCATCGATTCCACGCCGCTCTCCAAGTGACCGAACTCTGCGCCAGCTCGGGATCGCTCTCGGCTTCCTCGAGTACCGTCGAGAGCGCCTCCAACTCTGCGGCGAGGACGCCCTCGATGTCCACCTCCTGCTCCGCCGTGGGGGGCCTCATCCGTCGCCTCGTCGTCGGCGTCGCCGTCGAAGCTGCCGAGCTCCTCGTTCAGGGCCTCGAGCTCACCCTCGTCGGGCTGGCTGAGGCCATCGAGGTCCTCCGTCACGTGGGCCGCCTTGAACTTGCGGATCACCCATCTTCTCCTTCAGCAATTGAGTTCTGGGTCGGTTGGCGGCGGTCGGCTTCCTAATTCGATCGAAGACGTTGCGGCGCCGCTCCGTCACATGCAGGTTGGGGAACACTCGCAGCATCGCAAGCACCACCTCGCATATCTCCATGCTTCCGCTGGCCGAGGTCATCAGCATACTCTTACGTGCATCTGTCAGGCCCGTCTTCTCGATCAGCCACCAGCCTGCCGCGCGAGCTGGCAGAGCCACATCTTCCTCGACCACCTGGCTACGAGCCTCGCCGAACCTTACCATCCACGCGTGCAGGTCCTCGCCGGCACTCCCATGCAACTGCTTGTAGAAATATGTCATCACTCGTCCACGTCGCGTCGGCTCGTCCGCGCCCATCGTGGCCAGACCCTTCTATCAACCTGTCGATGCCCGCCACGGTGTCTGACTTCTCCCAATGGCCACGGTCGCCGTCGTCATCGTCTTCGCCCTGGGCGCCAATTTTCCGCGACCGCGTCGAGCTCTCCATCCAGACCCATTTTGAAGGCTTCGCGCGCAGCTTCTCCATCGGGATCGACTCCGCTAGCGTCTTCGCCGGGCCCGTCAGGCACCTTGCCACTCTGGCGGCCCAGCTCCAGCTCACGCCTAGATTGATGCCCTCGATACACAGGGCCACGTCCTTCTTGTATGGCCTCCACCGCGCCGCCGAGCCGTCCCGCGATGGAACCCCTTCCATGTCGCGACTCGTCCACCGCGGCGCCTGCACCCAGGCACTCGAGGAACTCCGCCACTGACGCCCGCCGCTGCCGCCAGCTTGCCGGGGCGGCAATGCGTCAGGCGAGGGGATGCCGCCACCCATCGCAGGCCTTCTGCGATGCGAATCCTGCCGAAGTCGCCATCGCTGTCATCGTAGTCCGCGCGCACGTCCTGGTATAGTCGTCGTCGTCCAGCACTCGCCTCGCGCTGTCCTTCACCTCGTAGATCTTCTCGCCCTCGGCCGAATGGCGCCCGCGCGTCGGCGGGCCCCGCTAATTACCACTGCGAGACCGGGGTGGCCTCCAGCGGCGCCCCATCCCCAGCCCCACAGCGGGGCCAGTGGCGGAGCCTGGCAGGGCTCGGAGGGACGAGCGCACAGTTTCGCCCGGACCACCGCTCCAGTGGCCGAGTTGTCTCAAGCCGCCATGAGCAAAGCTGGCAGCGGGGAGACAGCTGAGGCATAAGGGGGACATGCGGGGCAGAGAGATTCGATCCGAGAGTGGGCAGGGGAGATAATCCAGGGAAGTCGCATTCTTACGACACTCTGGCCTAAAGACTTCAGAAACACACTCCCCGATGAACGATCCGGCCATCCACTTGGATCCCCACAACATGCAGACGTAGTTGTAAACGAAAATCTCCCGCAGCATCCCGCTGCCACCAATTGGCGGCCGAAACACACGGCGTACTCCCACTCCGCCGACTCAACACTCCCCACGGAGACACCTCCGAAGAATCCACCCGAAGTAGATCACCAGGAGCACGCCGAACCACACACCAATGACTGGTGCCACTCGAAGCCCCTCGGAAAAAGTACAATTCGCAGCCACCACCTCCACCCTGATGAAGAGGACCACAAAACACATCAGCTGCTGGGCGCCCTCCCTGAGAGTCACCTCGACCACGACGTCGAGGCTCTCGATAAGAACCCAGCCTGGAATAGCAAGATGCCGCCATGGTTCGGCCGAGCTGCGCCCCTTCGAAATACGCTCGACCAACCTCGAACCCTCGAGACGAACGGGCCCAGAAGAGGAGGAGGAGGAGGAGGAGGAGGAGATGGGAGGCAAGGCTAGGAAAGGGCGTACAGCGACATACGTCTGCAGAATTTCGCACATTGCAGTGAGCCCGGTACTGGTACAGCGCGTGTGACAAGACGTGGGCAGCGCCAGAAACACTCTGCACATAGGCGTACTGGCATGTATGTGGCGAGGCTGCGAAAGCTACATGGCCGGCGGCATGCAACACATGAACGACACTGCATGCTCCGTGTCACGAGTCGCGCACGCAGGCGCAGCGTGGCGGCAGGGCATGTGGAGCCTGTAGCGCGGCAAGTGCTCGTCGCCACAGCAGGCCCCACAGCAGCGCCCTGGGCAGTATAGGCAGTGAGATTCAGAGCAGCAGCCAACAGACACGTCAGGAGACGTCCGATGAGCGGCCCTGCGCAAGCTCCTTGCACTGGCGCTTCGCGTGGACAAATCATTGCGGTTGCAACCCCCTGGCTGTCCCCCCCCCTTTTCTTCCTTCTCCTGATCCTCCTCCTCCTGATCCTCCTCCTCCTCCTCCTCCTCCTCTTCCTCCTCCTCCTCCTCCTCCTCCTCCTCCTCCTCCTCCTCCTCCTCTCCTCCTCTCCTCTCCTCTCCTCTCCTCTCCTCTCCTCTCCTCTCCTCCCCTCCTCCCTCCTCCTCCCCTCGGTCTCGTCAAATCTCCGTTCCCACCTCCTCTCCTCCTCGTCGTCCAGCCTCCTCTCCTCTCCTGACTCTCCTCCTCTCCTCCTCCTCCTCCTCCTCCTCCTCCTCCTCCTCCTCCTCCTCCTCCTCCTCCTCCTCCATACTAGAACCACGCGCGCGTTTCGCGCGTGCTTAGGTTCTAGTCACCGTTGCGCCATGTTTTACAGCTCTCGCTCTCGCCCGTCTGATCGGCGACATTGCGAAGTCCGCTGCACGAGGGCGTTGCAGAGCCTCCATCCGCCTCGGCCCCCGCCCTCCTCCCCTCATCGTCACGTCATCCTCCTCCTCCTCCTCCTCCTCCTCCTCCTCCTCCTCCTCCTCCTCCTCTCCTCCTCCTCCTCCTCCTCTTCCTTCCTCCTCCTCCTCCCCCCCTTCCTGCGTCTCCTCCTCCTCCTCCTCCAACTCTCCACTCCTCATCCTTTTTACGTTACGCCAACCTAACTGTGAAGCTGGGGCGTTTGTCCTCCTTCTCCTCCTCCTCATCCTCCTCCTCCTCCTCCTCCTCCTCCTCTCCTCCTCTCCTCCTCCTCCTCCTCCTCCTCCTTCCTCCTCCTCCTCCTCCTCCTCTTCATGCTCCTGCTCCTGCTCCTCCTCCTCCTCTGGCTCCTCCTCCTCCTCCTCCTCCTCCCCTCTCTCCTCCTCCTCCCTGCTCCTGCTCCTCCTCCTCCTCTCTCCTCCTCCTCTGGCTCCTCCTCTCCTCCTCTCGTTCTTCTCTCCTCCTCCTCCTCCTCCTCCTCCTCCTCCTCCTCCTCTCCTCCTCCTCCTCCTCTTCCTCTCCTCCTCCCTCCGCCTCCTCCTCCTCCTCCTCCTCTCCTCCTCCGCCTCCCGCCTCCGCCTCCTCCTCCTCTCCTCCTCCGCCGCCGCCTCCTCCTCCCTCCTCATCTCCCCTCCTCCTCCTCTCGTCCTCCTCCTCATCCTCCTCCTCGTCCTCCTCCTCCTCCTCCTCCTCCTCCTCCTCCTCCTCCTCCTCCTACTCCCTCTCCTCATCATCATTTCATCATCCTCCTGCATCTCCTCCTCATTCTCCCAGCCATTTCGGCTGGGCGGGCGCGCGCGATGGCGGCCGCCGCCCAGCTTGCGTCGGCTCCCCAGGACGGCGCTGCCGGTGCTGCTCGTCGGCGGTGCGACAAGCCACTCCCTGGCCTCGCGATCGTGAAGGATCACGGGGCTGGCGCTGAGGCGGCCTGCGACGGGCAGGCCGTGGGCAGCTGGCACGCGGTCGAGGCGAAGATCAAAAAGGGGCGGGCGCCGAAGCGGCCTGCGGAGCGCAGGGCGTCGGAGGCTGGCACGCAGCACCACGGCGGCGCGGCAGGTCTGCCAGCCGCCGGGGCCTGGCTCCGCGCGTGGCGGCCGAAGAGGCGGCCCGCCGGGGCAGGCCACGCAGGGAGGGCGGCACGGAGCGCCGGGCGGCAGCGGCCGTGCAGAGGCACTTCACAGAGGCCACCCGGCGAGGAGCAGTCTGCGGAGCAGCGCTGCAGTGGCCGTGCAGCTCTCCAGGGCTGGGCCCATGCGTTCGTGCGCAGCCCGTCGAGGCAGGTGGCGGCGCGGACGAGGGCGCCATGCTCGACGAGGCCGTCGCGTGCGCGGCGCGGGAGCTGGAGGCACTGGTGGCAGCTGCCATGCCCGTCGCAAAGGCCGTCGGCGGCAAGCGGGCGCGGCGACGGAAGAAGGTGAAGGAGGCCGCTCCGACGGGAGCCGAGGCGGCGACGGCGGTGGCTGGGGCGGCGGTCGAGGCGAGCAAGGTGCGCCTGGGCGCCACGCGGGCTGCACTGGCTGCCGCGGAGGCCGCTCTGGCCGAAGAGGCCCTGGAGGCGGCCCAGCTTGCGGCCGAGCTGGAGGCCCTTGACGCCGAAGCTGCCGCGCTGGAGGAGAAGGAGCAGAAGTCCAAGAGGGGCCTCGACGAGATGCACAGGACCGATGTGGTGTCGGAGGGCGGCGCCGTCGAGGGCCATGGCGCGGCGCACGCAGGGCGCGGGGAAGGGGAGGGGTCCTATCACATTGCCCGCCCTCCCCCTCGCCATCGCTCGGAAGTCCATTCCCTGTGTTTTTTTCGGTTTCGTGGGTGATTTTTTCGGCAAATGGTCAAGGATGCTCCTCGATGGTCCTCGCCGAAGGAAACATGCACACGTTCGAGCGATGCCAGGCCTCACCGAGGCCCCTGCTTGTCGGGAGGGGGGCCGCGTGCTGGGAGCCCGTTCCTCTGCCGCGGGGCGGCGGGGGGGCTCTCGCTCCCTCGCCCATGTGCTTCTCGGCCGCCGCGGCGGCAGGCAGAGACCCTCTGCCCAGCAGCCATTCCATCCCAGTCCATTCCATGTCATTCCATCCCATTCCATTCCACTCTACTCCATTCCTTTCCATTCCATTCCATTCCATTCCACTCTATTCCACTCCATTCCATCCATTCCAGTCTATTCCCTCCATTCATTCCATCCCAATCCATTCTATTCCACTCCATTCCATTCCATTCCATTCCGTTCCACTCCTCTCCATTCCACTCCATTCCATTCCATTCCATTCCGTTCCTCCTCCTCCTCCGCCAGGCCAGGGTATTGTACAAGTCCTTACCCCCGCGGCCCAGCGTTGCAGCCCTGGCGTCGCGTGGCACCTCCTGAATGAGGTGTGCTACCGATGATCCCATGCGGGCTGGGGCAGGTCCCCTCCCCCCCCCTTCCCTTCCTGGGGGCGATCGCTGTTATGGCGTGAGCCAGGAGGTCCCTCCACCCCCTCCCCTTCGGACCCTCAAAAAGGGAAGGCGGCACGGCCCCCGGGCTGGAAAGCCTAAGGGTGGACGTTGTGCGCACCCTTGGCTGGAGAATGGCCCTCTCCTGGGTCCTCGTAGCCAGGTTTGAACCCTGGCATGTTGGGTCCTTCGCCCCCCTCCCCTCGGACCCCATTAGAGGAAGGCGGCACGGCCCCTGGATTGAAAAGCCCAGGGCTGGACGATGCGCGCGCCCTTGGGCGGAGAGTGGCCCTGCTCCCACTTGTTGGGTCCTCGTGATAGGGTTGGGATGTGCCGCGTTGCTGAGCTGATTGGCACACCCCCAGCTTTCGTTCGGCGTCCAAAGCAGAGGCAGGCGACAGCGAAACCTGGCCCCTACGTGCAGGGCGACCTGCACAGGCTACAGACGCGGGGACCTGTAGCGAGAGGGCAGAAGGCTCGTCCTGGCCCCTGTTAGGCCAAGACAAACGAACAGCCCAGAAAAGAGACCCCAGCGACCCCGTGGGTCAGGGGTACAAGGCGAAAGAAAAACATGCTAGTCCGAGTCCGAGGAAGAAGAAACCTCAGGACACCCACCAGCAGCTCGGACTAGTCTGTTGACTTTCGCTTGGAAAGTAGCGGAGGCCGACCGAGCGGGAGCACTAGGCTCCAGGTCGTCCATATCCGCCAACACAGCACGCTCCTGTCGGGACGCAGCCCGAGAGGCATCACCCCCGCTCGGGGGTGCAAAGGCATTTGACTTCACAGCAGGACCGAGGGTAGACGACGACGACGACGAATACTCCACGACTCTATCAGGCTGTGAGTCCAATAAAAACTTGGCAGTGACCTCCTCCTCCTCATCGAAACCATCTAAGAGGCCCTTGCGCATGCCTGGCCGCCCAAATCAGGCTCTCGCGCCCCCACCTGCGTTCCGGCCGCCTGCGTTCAGGCATGCGGAATTGCGCCCCTTCTTTTAGGGGGAACCGCATGGGACCCGTGAAGTCATTCATTCCGTCCTTCCTTCCTTCCTCCTCCTCCTCCTCCTCTCCTCCGCCTGGGGACTGGTAGAGAAGATGCGGCATGGCACTCAACCCTACCGTAGAGGCTCGCGCCGGAGGGCGAATCCAGGAGGGCGGCCAGTTTTCGCAAATTCCTGTTGTGAGTGTGGGGAGCAGGATTTGTCCACCTCTTTCTCCTCTCCCTAGCTTTCTTCTTCCCCCCCCCCCCCACTCCCGCCTTCCCCCTCCTGGCCGGCGCCGCGCGCAGTCTTCACAATCGTACACCCGGGGGTAGTTCCATTCTCTTGCGGCTGCCATGGGATCCGAGGCATGCCAGTTCATCTCCATCCCGCTCTTCCTCCACCTCCGCCTCGTCCTCTCCGTCTTCCTCATTCGAGCGCCCGCTGGGCGCCAGGTCCATGATTAGGTGGCGCAAGCGTGATGTTTCCATTCCGATGGGGGCGGGCGTAGTGAAGCCGGACGGGTGGAGCAGATTGGAGGGCAACGAGCGAACGAGGAGGATGAGCATGTCAGGTAGCACATCTTGTGGTACGGAGCTCGCCCCGCCGATTCCCGTCTCTGCTCTATGCTCTCTCTCTCTCTCTCGCCCGTCGCTCCTGCTGTCTCCAATCGCGGTCCTGTCCGTAACTGTTTAGGCTCTGGCTCGCCGGTGTCGCACAGGTGCTCAAGTCATCAGCGAGGGCCTCGTTGCAGAGCCGTGGGGTAAAGAAGCATCCAGCCTCTTAGCCGAGAAAGGAATCCTCCTCCTCTCCTCCGCCTGGATGTTCCCAAAAAGGGCTTCAGGAGCATATGGCCGGCTGTTTTCCATGGGCATCTGGAAGCCTCGACGGGGACATGTTGGAAGCCTCTTGGGGGCCTCTTGGGGTCTCTTGGGGGCCTACTGGGGCCTCCTGAAGGTCTCTTGGGGCCACTTTGGCGCCCTCGGGGGATTCCCGAGCTGGTTGAGGGCGCTCTTGGCCAGTCTGACGCCTTCGGCAACTGTCTGGCGGGGCTCTCGGAAGGCACTCGGGCCGTTTGGGGCGGCTCTTGAGTATTCTTGTAACCGCGTTTGGGGCATGTGGGTATCCTATTGGACTCTTCCAGGCGACTTGTGAATCCTCTAGAAATCTTCAAAGCCCATTGGAACTGAAAAAAGCGAGAGCTTCAAGAAGTACTGCATTCCCTTAGGGTTTGGAATATTGTGACTTCTCGGGGGCGTCCAGGAAGCCTCTTGGGGCCCCTGGAGGGTTTCTTGGCGCCTCTCGGGGGCGTCGCGGGAGCGTCTTGGGGGACTCCTGGGCGCGTCTCGGGGCCATACAGGGCCATCTTGGCGGCTGGGGTCCTCCGTGGCGCCTCTTGGGCTTCTGTCGGGCGATTGGCCGTGCGCAAGCCTGAGATAGAGGGGGCAAACAGACCTGCCCCGCTTTTGACCACCCTCGCTTCCAAGAGATACCAAGCGGTGCCAAACTACGGCCTGTACTGGTCAGGCCGCTTGACGAGGAGGCGCGTGGTATGACTTGGTTTTGCCTGGATATGAAAGCGGGGTAGGTAATGCACGCTCTGATGAGAGGCCCGTTGGTGGTGGCAAGGCGAGATCGCCCGTCGCCGTCGTCCGACGCCCGCCGCCGTCGAGGGCCACCGCGCTTCGCCGGAGGCGGGCGGGGCGGAGAACGAAGAGGACGGCGAGGAGGGAGATCACCACCACCACCACCGCCACCACCACCACCACCATCCTCATCCTCATCCTCATCCTCATCCTCATCCTCATCCTCATCCTCATCCTCATCCTCATCATCATCATCATCATCATCATCATCATCATCATCATCATCATCATCATCATCAGCATCACTCATCATCATCATAATCATCAACATCACCATGACCATCACCATCACCATCATCATCATCAACAACAACAACATCATCATCATCAGCATCATCATCATCGTCATCATCGTCATCATCATCATCAGCATCATCATCATCGTCATCGTCATCGTCATCGTCATCGTCATCATCATCGTCATCATCATCATCATCGTCATCATCATCATCATCATAAGCATTATCATCAGCAGCAGCAGCATCATCATCATCATCATCATCATCACCATCAATGTCATCAGCATCACCATCATCAGAATCAGAATCATCATCATCATCAGCAGCATCACCATCACCACCATCAGCAGCATCAGCATCATCGTCAGCATCATCGTCAGCATCACCATCATCGTCATCATCATCGTAATCGCCATCGTCATCGTCATCGCCAACAACGTCAGCGTCGTCATCTTCATCGTCATCATCATCATCATCATCATCATCATCAGCCGAATCATCATTGTCCTGCTTATCTTCTTCCCATCATCATCATCAGCATCAGCAGCAGCAGTATCAGTATCAGCAACATGCATCGTGATCGTCATCATCATGATCAGCATCAGCGGCAGCAGCATCAGCATTAGCATCAGCATCAGTGGCAGCTGCAGCTGCAGCAGCGGCAGCAGCATCATCATCACCATCACCACTAAAACCACCTCTCAAAAATCGGGGGCTGCGCCCAGGGGGAGGCCGCAGTGCTGTGAACCGGGCCTCGCGGGGAGGGCCCTGCCCCGATGTCGTGCCTCGGCACGGGTCGTCCGCGTGCCTCGATGCAGTCGTCGTCAGCGGCGTCGTATCGTGCTGCCGTGGTGCTCTGCCCGAGACGTGTTATGTTCCCTTATGCGGTGACCACACGCCACCATTTCCTTCCATCCTCCCTCGTCCCTCCTCCTTGGTCGTCGCTCGGCGCTTCTTGGTCGTTGATAACTACACCAGCAGGGCGCAGAAGCGATGAAGGGGCAAGCGAGAATGGACACGGCGGGAGGGATGGAAGGGGGAAAGGAAGAGCAGGCAACTCTACCCCAACGGCACTGCTACGGCAAGGCCACCTCAAAAAAACGCGTTAAACTACACGCGCCAAGTCGAAGGAGTGGAGGTCCGTGCGGCTTTCTCGGGTCGGCGCTGGCCCCCTACCCGCACCCCTTCCCAAGCGCGCGGAGCGCGCTGGGGGCTGCGAAGGAGGCGCCACCAGGGGGCGGGGAGGGAGACCTGGAGCCGACCCAAGAAATCCACACGGGCCTGCGGAAGCTTAACATGAACAGGGAAACTCTGATCAGTCCAAGAAGAAGGGGGCGATCTCGGCGCGATTATCACGGGCTTTCCCGGAGGGCGAGACCCCTAGCCAAATCTTTGGAATCCGTTCCTTGTTGATATTATTATCGTGTCCGGGTCCCCAACTTCATGCTTTTGTCATTGTGCTGTTCTTCCATGTGACGACGAAGTCACTTCCTCAGACCCCGACGTCGCGGATCTTCACCATGTGGACCCCAAAGTCTTGACAGCTCTCCCAGGACAGATATTTCATCCTTGGTTGTTTTTGACTGACCAGGGCCCAATTTAAGGACCCACGGAGGCCGAAAATTGCCAAATTAACGTCTTGTATCTTCACGACGCGAGGAAGTCTGAGACCGACGACGACGACGACGACAAAAATCGGCCCCCGGACTGGTCTTGGGGTGCGTTGTGGCCAGAGTTTGGGAGGCGGATGCGGCCGTGGCCGCGAGCGGACCAAAATGACGGCAAAAACGTCAAAGAAGAATCCTCGAGCAGCCTCGATCCTCGAACCTCGATCCTCGAACCTGGTACCTCGACCCGCGAAACCCGAACCTCGATCCTCGAACCTCGATCAAGAGAAGCATCCTCGATCCCCGAGCCCCGACCCTCGGGATCCCCGCGCCTCCGGCGGCCCCATCAGCCACCTGCGCGACGGCCGCCGCGCCAGATGCCTGGCCCCGGCGCCGCCCGCCGCGGACGGATCGCCCGCCTCTCGGGGGGCGGGGCGAGCGAAGAGCGAGGCGGGAAGGGAGGGGGGGGAGGGGCAACGCGAGGGGGGGGAGCACAGGGGAGGACAAGCATCGAGCTCGAATCGGCGACGCGCCTCTGACAGATGGACCACGGGCCCCCGATGGCGCACCCGCACGGTCCTGGGCGGGGGTCGGCTCTCGGGACCCCTGTCCGTGATGAGTGAGCGACTGGGGGTCGATGCGCCACCCCCGTTGAGTCCATCCCCCCCTAACGTTATGTCGGGCCTGTCCCCCTACAGGGGGATTTTCGACGGAAAACAAAATACCCCAAAATTGTCAACAAAAAAGAACAAACAAAAAAAATGACTATTGTTGGACAATGTTTAAACTATGTTGGGGGTACTTTTAGTTTTTCGTCGGGAATCCCCCTGTAGAAGGACACGCCCGACCTAACCCTAACGCTGCCACTGGAGGGAGGAGTCCAGGAGCATGGGGCGAAGCGCACTCCAGCATCCTCGCGGCTGGCTGGCACGCAGCAGCCCGAGTGGAAGTGGGGCGGGCTCCGGGGCCACGGATCAGCCAGGCACAGACACGGAGGAGGA